TTTAAAGATTTTTATTTATTTATTTGACAGACAGAGATCACAAGTAGGCAGAGAGGCAGGCAGAGAGAGAGGAGGAAGCAGGCTCCCCGCTGAGCAGAGAGCCCGATGTGGGGCTCCAACCCAGGATCCTGGGATCATGACCTGTGCTGAAAGCAGAGGCTTTAACCCACTGAGCCACCCAGGTGCCCCTCAGTAACTGTTTTTAAAGATTGATTGATTAATTGGTTGATTCATTTATTTAGAGCACCTGAGAGGGCAGAGGGATAGAATTCCCAAGCAGAATCCCCACTGAGGTTGAAATTCCGGGTTCAATTTCATGACCCTGAGATCATGACCTGAGCTGAAATCATGAGTTGGATGTTTAACTGACTGAGCCACCTGGCGCCCCACAGTTTCAGTATCTTTTTTTTTTTTTAAATTAAAGATTTTATTTATTTATTTGACAGAGATCACAAGTAGGCAGAGAGGCAGGCAGAGGGAGGCGGAAAGAGGGGGTAGGGGAAGCAGGCTCTCTGCTGAGCAGAGAGCCCAATGCAGGGGATGTGGGGCGGGGCTCGATTCCAGGACCCTGAGATGACCTGAGCTGAAGGCAGAGGCTTTAACCCACTGAGCCACCCAGGCGCCCCAGTTTCAGTATCTTTAAAATGAGAATAACAATAGTACTTGTCTCACTGGGTTGTTGTGAGGATCTTAAGGAGTTGGTGTATGTAAAAAACTTAGGATAATGTAAATAAGGTAAAAGTGTTAGTTATTTCTACTATACACTAGCTTTTGGTGATAACATGAGGAATAAATGACAGATCCTGACCTCAAGGGGTCAGCATATGTGGGAAGACAGACTTCACAGAAAACCTGGAAACAGTCATTTCCACACAGAATTCACGTTCTGGGTGAGGGTAGGGGAGCCGCCAGAGAGGAAGCCCCTCATTCTCATGTCAGGGTGGGTTTTTTGAGTATTGGAGTGCTGGCTCTTGAAGGGAGAGGGGAGTAGGTGCTGACCCGGGGAAAGGGGCCAGGAATGGGAAGGACCTTCCAGACCCAAGGAAGAGCTCCTAGAAGCTCAGAGGCCAAAGAGATCACTTTGTGTTCTGTTCCTAGGGTCCTGTCTCCAAATTCTTGGCCTTCCCTTCAGCTACCCACTAAATTCTCCAACTTCTCTTTCCTCTCTGGAAGTAACTTTCCCTTCTACTGTATCTTCTTGCCTTTATCCACCTTTCTGAGTCCCATTTTGATGCTGTTCTGATGTGAGGACCCAAGGTATTAAGATGAGGAAGCAGGGGTAGGCTGGAGGAGTACTATAGTCCCGCTGTTTTACATTTTCCCTTTTTACTCAGATGAGGCATCTGAGCGTTGGGGGAGACAGGGGCCAGAAAAAGGACAGATTCCCTAGCTCCCAGCCTCAGGGGCCAGGCCCAGGAAGTGGATGAGCTCACACCACAGCCTGTGGAAATTTGGGGGAGCCAAAGGAGATGCAGGCAGGCAGTCTCAAAAGAAGTGAAATCTACCCACTTCCCAGCTGCCCATTGGTCAAGTTTAAATAAGAGAGAGCAGGTGGGGGTGGGGGAGCCTGGGATTAGGAGGTGGGGGTGGGGGAGCCTGGGATTAGGAGATTACTGGGAAGCAAGAGTTGGGAGGGTTTGGGGGAGGGAGTCAGGGGTTAGGCTAGGGAGGAGACTTTTCTATCCTTGGGGGAAGATCTACAGAGCAGGAACCCACCTGTGTCAGCAAAGCTGATGATCTCATACTCCTGTTCCCCATCAGCCTCTGGAAGCGTCCCCTGTGGGGGCCCACGGAGGCGCTGCAGCGCAGTCCTCAGAGCAGCTCTGGACACAGGCTGGTTCAGTGTCGGGCGCTGGCTGAGGTGCAGTTTGTCCAAGATGCGTCTCTTGGCCAGGTCAAGAAGCAGCTCCCGCTGGTGATCCAAGTCCACGGCGGGTCCTCTACATGCCGGACACTGGCTATCAGAAGCTCTGGGGATGGCCACTGTAGCCGGAGCCAGGAATAGGAAGGCCAGGAGTAATGGAGAGATCATGGCTGGGGGAGGCCCTCTTTTAGTGATATGGTTGAGACAGAGCCGTAAAACTGGGGCTCAGGATCTCAACAGCTGTGGTCTCAACTCCAACCTGGCTGCCAGGGGCCCTGGAAGGAGAGTGTGTCCAGCTGGCATGACTCCTTGCTGCAGGGGATAGAGCAGCCAAACATCTGACTTGAGAGATGAAGCCAGTAACAGGTAGAACTTGGCAGAAGGCTCCAACACATAGTCAGTGAAAGTACAGAGTGGGGGATGTGAGTTGTTTAGTCTGGGGAAAGAAATGTCCCTGGGCCAATGTTGGGAGACAGTGGGTTACCCATGTAAGCTGCGGGGGCCTGGGGACAAAGGTTAGAGATGAAATTCCTCTTCAGATCAAAGGCCTTGCTGGAAGCCTGGAGGAAAAGGGAGAGATGAGAGGCTTTAAGACAGAGTGTTAAAAGAGTGACTCTCAAACAAGAGGGGTCCTTGGCAGGGCACTTTATGTCATTATCATGCAGATAGTTGAGAGTTTCATTTCCCTTTGCCAGGTACTTCTCAAATTCTCGCTGCTCCCTTTCTTCCTCCCAGAGGCTCATAATGCAGACTCCTTTGTTAACCAACACCCCCTCCCCTCATCCCCACTCCACTGGGCTCAAAAGTAGCCAGTATGAAGGCTAAGGGAAAGGAAGGTTAAGTGTTCTCAGCCTGGTCTTCTGCTTCCTCAGAGGGAAGTCTGAAGGTGGGAAAGGGACTTGAGAGCTAGATTTGCTCACCCTTTGGGGATTCTTCTACTTAGGAAAAGAAATTTTGAGATTTCTCAGAATCCCTGGTTTTCCAAAGGTCCTCACCAGTGGCTCTTCAGGGAAGGGCCTGGGCTCTCATAGCCGGGATTCATCCGGCAGGGATGGTGGGTGGAGTTAGGAGGATAGTTCTTTTTTTTTTTTTTTTTTTTTAAGACTTTATTTATTTATTTATTTATTTTTAAAGATTTTGTTTATTTATTTGACAGACAGAGATCACAAGTAGGCAGAGAGAGAGAAGGGGAAGCAGGTTTCCAGCTGAGCAGAGAGCCTGATGAGGGGCTCAATCCCAGGACCCCGGGATCATGACCTGAGCCTAAGGCAGAGGCTTAACCCACTGAGCCACCCAGGTGCCCCAGGAGGATAGGTTTTTAAATCAGATGACCTTGGTCAGAATTCTGTCTCTTTCTTTTATTAGCTGTGTGACTGTAGGCAAGTTACTTGACCTCTCGTGCTTTCATTTCTTCATTTGGAGATATAGGAAAAATGATTGCCCATGATTATAAAATCCAAAAAACCCCCATAGTCCACTTTGTTTTTTGTAACTCTCATGGTGACCTGAACAGAGGGGAGGTTATCTATGATCTTTTAAAAAATTGTACTGAGACTATTTACACATTTTTATTCCAGAGATACAAATTATTTGATTATGGCATACCCCTGGAGGTATTATAAAATATACAGTATGTGTATCATTTTACCTTTCTAAAACTTGGACTTTTCTGAATTCTGAAACATGGCTGGCCCGATGGACTTTGAATATGGGATTATAGATCTGTAATGATTATTTCAGAGTTTTGAGATTTAAATAATTTCGTAAAGCACTGACAATGACTGGCACAGAGCAGGGGCTTAACAAAAGTTTATTATTTCTGCTACACAGGTTTGCTTGTGGGCCAGAGTACCTCCACCAGTATTTGCCCTTCTGGACTCTTCCTTCCTAGATGCCAGGCCCACAATTTCTGTCTGCAGTGCAATCACTTAGCCGGCCATCTTTGTTGCTTATATTATTATATACCTAGCATCGCACACAGTGCCTGATCTATAATATAAGTGTTTAAAAGTGTGGGAATCCTCTCTCCCCCATTCTATTGAGAATTTACTGACATACATCACTATGTATGTTTAAGGCACACAGCATGTAACTTCTCCGTAGCTTACTCAGTCTCCCTTACCTCTAACAACCAATTGCTCCTTGTTTCCACAGCACATTGAACATCTCTATTTATAGCATTTACATTGTACTGTAATTATTTATTTTTTTGCCTGTAGTTCTTGCAACATAGTAAATATTTAATAGCCAAATTCTATCAACGTAAGACTACAGTGCTTCTTTGAGGGAGGCAGTGAGTAAATGATCCAAATACATCTGGTCAATAACTAAATTGATTCTGCCTAGAACGGACAGAACGGGGGAAGTTGCAAACTCAAGTGACTCTTAAGGGAAAGAAGTAGATCTTGGAAGGAGTTGGCAAGTGATTTTAATAAGATGGACTTTAACCTGCTTTCTATAGAATTAAATTTTTACATCTGGAAAAATGGACATCCACCTACCACATGATCTTTGTCCATTTATAGTACAAATATTTATTACAGGAGTTACCGTCCTGAGTGTAAGGCTATCTTGAAAGTGCTCTGCAAACTGAAATTACTTTATAGTAATTAGTATTATGTTTAAATCTTGGGTGACTCTGACAGGCTTGATGGACTTAAGGGGGACTGAGGATCGCAGTGGATCTGGATTGCTGGCTTGAGGCACAGGTAACGCGGAGGGAGCGACGGAGGGAACGAGGTGGCCTGTGCAAGTGCGCCGGGGAGGAGAACGTGTGGGTAGTCGGGGCGAGTGGGTGCCTAGATAGGGGGCGTCTGCAGCAGTCGAGAGAGACACAGAGGAAGCAAGGACGCGCGGGGCGCAGGACGCGCTGACGACTACGCCGGACGTGGTGACGTAGCGCGCAGGCCGCAGCGGGGGGCGGACTCAGGGCCTTTCTTCCCCTTCTGATTTTCCCCCTCCCCCCTTTTCTCCCTTTCCGGGTTTGGTTCCCCCCTTTTTTCCCTCTCCCCCTTCCTTCCCAAGCCCCTTTCCCCTCCCCCGCCCCAGTCCCCCCTGCTCCCCCGCCTGGGTCCGGGGGAAACCCCCGCCGAGAAGAGCCCGCCCCCAGAAGCGCGCCGCCGCCGGCCGTCGGGGCCGAGCCGCAGCCGAGCGGCCGTGGGCCCGGGCGGCGGGCGGAGACGCGGGCGCCGTCCCCGCTACGGCCCGCGTTAGGTGAGGCCACCTCCCGGCCAAGGGGGCGGGCGGTGCGGGCGGCCCGTGGGGAGGGGGCGTGGCGGCCGCGCGGGCTGGCGGGCGGAGGCCCCCCCGACCTGGCTTCCCCGCGCTGGAGCTACCTGGGCCTGGGGACGGTGGGTCAGGGCCGGAACCCACCGTGAAGGACGGCCCCGAGGCCCAAGGCGCCCCGAGTGTGTGCGGGGAGCGCAGGCGAGAAGCGGGGGAGTGGGGGCACGGGTCAGAGGGCGGGGGGCTGGCGCCACCTGTGGCCTGTGTGGTAGGACCTAAGAACTGTTGCGCTCTTGTAGTGTTGGGGGTGACTAGCTCCATGTGTTTCTTGGGTTTCCGTTTACCTTCGAGCCCTGGAAAAACGGAGGGAAACGTGTTGAAGCGTTTCAAGTCATGCTGGGATCCGAGTTGTTAAGAGGACAGGGATCCGAGTTGGAACATACAGGGAGATGTTTCTGGAGCTTAAAAGTTGGGCCTACATTAGGCTCATAACTCACTCTTGAGCCTCTTAAAACTCTTACTTATTTTGGTGACCTCGCAGAATAATTATTCGTTCACTCAGTGAATTGTTCTTGGATAATGATGACACATGTTTTCCAGGTTTATTGAGAAGTAGTTGGCATACATTACTGTTTATGTTTCAGGCACACAGCGTGATGGTTTGATTTACATATTTTGTAAAATGATTGTTGAAATAGGTTCAGCTCATGTCCATCGTTCTTGTATAGATACAAAAAGAAAAAAAAAAAAGGAAAGAAAAAAAATGTCCATGTGATGAGAACTCAGGATTTACTCTATCAACTTTCCTATAAATCACATAGCAGTGGCAACCCATAGTCGTCATGTTGTACATTACATCCCTCCTACTTATTTCCTTATAACAAAATTTGTGCCTTTTGTCCACCTTCCTGCAGTTCCCCCTCACCTTACCCTCTGCCTCTGGTAACGACAAGTCTGATCTCTTTTTCTATGAGCATGGTGTTTGTTTTTTCATTTATTTAGATTCCACACATAAGTGAGATTGTATACTGTTTGTCTTTCTCTGACTTACATGCCTTCCAGGCCTATCCATGTTGTCACAAATGGTAGAATTTCCTCATTTTTTATGGCTGACTAATATTCCTTATATGTGTATTTTATATATGTGTATATACACACACCCCCACCCCCACCACAAGTTTATCCATTCATTCATCCATGGACATTTAGGTTGTTTTCCTGTCTTTGCCAATGTCAGTAATGCTCTTATGAACGTGGGTATTCAGATCGCTTTCCGAGTCAGTGTTTTTGTTGGTGTGGGAAAATTTAAATTCAGATCCCAGTTGGATGAATGTTCTTGTATAAATCTTTTTCAAATAGACTTAACTGAAATAGAGAAGCCCGAGTTCTGTCTGATGTTGGTGGTCACATGGAGACTGGGGAAGAAGGAGGTGACAGGTTCTACTTCTGGAATATTACACATTCCTAGCATTTTATTGTATTTTTGGATAGTCAGATTGGCACTTGAATTAGTTGTTAGTGGCTCCTCTTTCTTTCTCATGCTCCCTCCCCCCCATTTCCTTTCTCCAATATTTCCTTTTTCCCCCTTTGTGGAAGCTTCAAGACAAAAATGACTTAAATAGGGTGCCAGGTGGTAGGTTAGGTTAATTAGGTTCACTTTATAGTTGTATTTTTCTTCCCCCATTGCTGTTTTCCATAGGGTTGAGAGGACAGAGAATCTTTGTGAAATGTCTGATGAACTTTCAGCAAAAGTTAAATTTCAGAGTTGCAGTTCCAGCAGTCTTTGTGTCTACTGTGGATCTATATTGTAGATCTCTACAATTTATTTATTTATTTAGAGAGCGAGAGAGCATGAGCCAGGGGACGGAGCAGAGGGAGAGAGAGAAAAGCAGGATCCCCATTGAGCAGGGAGCCTGATGCACTGCAGGGCTCATGCAGTGCAGGTTTCCATCCCAGGACCCTGAGATCATGACCTGAGCCAAAGGCAGACACTGAACCAACCGAGCCACCCAGGTGCCCCAATACCACAATTTAAAACAAAAATTTGAAAACTTGTGTATATAAAAATGGGGTGCCTGTTATTTTTTAATGGAAAAGAGTCTGAAGGGGATATAGCTTCCTTGCTTTTTCAGAATAAAAACCAAAGACTTACAATTGCCTTTAAAGCCCTAGATCTGTAACACCCTTTCCTCCTCAACATACTCCTATGATCTCCTAGCCCTTCCTTGAGCATGCACACCAGGTTCACTTCTGCCTCAGGGGCTATGCATTTACTCCCCAGATCTTCCTGGATTACTTTTTCATTATAAAAACGCTTAACTTTGTCCCCTCACCTCTTTTCAGTTCTTTATTCAACTGTCACTCAAACAGTGACATTTCCTTGGTTATTTAAATTGCAACCCCCCCTTTACATAATTCTCTATCCTACTTTTCTGCTTTATTTTTCTCCTTACCCTTAGCAACCTATAACATGCCTATGTTTGGTGTCCCCCACTAGAAAGTAAGCTTAATGGGAATAAATAGGCTTGTTTGTTAATTGCTATGTCCTCAGCACTTAGCATAGAAGTTGCCATGCATTGGATGCTCAATAGTTTTCTCCTTGTTATGAATTTTTGGACATTATTGGTTGTCCTTGTAAGTGTGGAATGAATTATCACTAAGATTTTGTGAGGTACTCATTGGAAAAATTTGAGATTCTTTTTCTGTCATTTTTTGCCGCATTTCTCTTTTTGACAGAAGTCTCGTGCTTTCAGTTCATTGAATGGAAGCACTTCTAAGGCAGAGAGCGTGAAGCATAGGGGATCTTTGGTGTTGGTGGTCCTAGACGAAGATTGTTTTAAACTCTCATGTGACTAGAATTTTTACCTCCTGCATCAGGCTCTTCCCTTGATGTGTGTTCATTTCCCTGATGAGACAGCTATTACCATCCTTATCTCTTTGGCCCCAAGGCACTGAACAGGCTAGTTCCCCTTTGAATTTTTCAGAGACTGAAGATGTTAATATTTACAGTGTGGGCTGTATGGGTTATATTTTTCCCCCCATTCATGTGGAGCCAGTTGAGTTAAAAAAACTATGAGAATAGCTTTCTCTAACAGTGATGGAGTGGTTCATTCTGGGAACATCTGATCCTCCCCCCCCCCCACAAATCCATTTTGGGGGGGCATTTTTAGCAACTAAATTCTGTATTAAGTCTGAGGAGAAAAGGAGCAGGCTGCCTGAGTTCTATGGATTATCCCTCATTTATTTTTTCCTTTCTCATTTCTTGGTTGGTGTATTTGTTACCTTTGTTGACCTTTTGGCTAGAGTCGCCTAGATGAGGTTTCTCTTTGTGGCAGTCCTGGCCACTGTTCTCCAGCTTAGGAAGGCAAGGGTGTGAGATAGGGGTTTTAACACTTTGTGGAAATGCTGGTGGCAAAGCCTTAAGTTTTTCGGTAAACCTTTGCCAGGACATTGAAAGCTGCCAGGGCTATGAGAGAACAGTTTGTGGCAGGGTGGAAAAATTGGGGATCTTGTATCTATTAGAGTGGATGTGGTTCTGATATTAGTGTAAAGAAGTAACAACATCAGAGATATATTAGTTCTTATTTTGTGAATAATTTCTGACATAATATAGGTAGATTGATAAATACTTCTATTAAACTGTTGTCCCCTTTTACTTTTTTTTTAAGAGTAGATTTTTTTTTTTTTTTTAAGATTTTATTTATTTATTTGACAGAGATCACAAGTAGGCAGAGAGGCAGGTGGGGGGCGGTGGGGGGAAGCAGGCTCCCCACGGAGCAGAGAGCCTGATGTAGGGCTCGATCCCAGGACTCTGGGATCATGACCTGAGCCGAAGGCAGAGGCTTTAACCCACTGAGCCACCCAGGCACCCCAATCACCCCAACATCAATTTTCTTTTAAGATTTTATTTATTTGAGAGAGCGAGCAACCATGGGGGAGGGGGAAACTCCCATTGAGCAGGGAGCCCAATATGGGGCTCGATCCCAGGACCCTGGGGTCATGACCCGAGCCGAAGGCAGAGGCTTTAACCCACTGAGCCACCCAGGCGCCCCTGTTGTCCCCTTTTAAATCCTTCCGCAAAATTTCTAGGAAGTCTTTCTCATGCTCCAGAGATACTTAAACCACGTTCTGATGGTTTCTGAATGATGCAGTGCTTATTCCTGTGCCAGATCTTTTCATGAACTCAAGGAAAGTTTTCAGGAAAAAGCGTATTTTGAAGAAGGGATTAAAAAGTGTTGCCTTTTGGTTGCATGATCCCAGGAAGTGCAGGAGGAACGAATTTTGTGAAACTGTATGCTGTTGTTTGTTTGTTTTTTAAGGATTTTCTGTGCCTCCTTGTAAGACTGGATAAGGGACTCTGAGTGTCCTTGTGTGAAATGTGCTGCCAGTTTGCAAGTAGGAAAAATAACTGGACTCATGGCTTGAATGTGTGTGCATGAATACAGTTGGTGGGTCTAATTTTAGAGACCTTCATACACTGTGGCCTCAGTAATTTTCTCCAGCTGTATCCTTACTCTCTGTGTAGAAAACATTTTGCTTAATAGTCTTTTAGTGGTTGGTTAACTTTTATTCTTACCATAAAGTTTTATTTATTTATTTATTTTCGTTCTAAAGATTTTATTTATTTATTTGAAAGAGAGAGCAAGAGCAAGAGAGAGAGAGAGCATGAGTGGGGTGAGGGGCAGCGGAAGACTCCAGGATTGTGACCTGAGCTGAAGGCAGACACTTAACTGAATGAGCCATCTAGGTGCCCCCATGGTTGCTAGTTTAGCAGTGTAGCACGTGTTCCATCTTTCCAGTGAAGTTTGTCCATTACTTCCTAACTTTGAGTTTATTTCTGAAAACAGAGATAGGAAAGATTTCTTAATCTTGATCTGTTTTACCTCCTTTCAGAGTTCCCTTAGATTTCCTTAGCATGTATCTGTTTTCTCCAACACTTAAAAGAAAATTGATGTTGGGGTGTCTGGGTGGCTCAGTTGGTTAAGCCT